CTCCATGCCCTTCACCTCTAACAATTGCCCACCTTACCTTAGCTAACATAGGAACTTTAACTTGTCTCTCTTTATTTGCTAGCAATTCTCAAGTACTTCTTGCTCCAACCTCCAAGCAATTTACTAGGTCTAAAACTCCCTTCAGAATCACATCACATAACATCACTGTGTGCCAGTCATTAGACAGCAACTCACGATCCTCAATATATTTAGAATTCAAGTCTTGACCTACCGTCTACTGATTCTACTGCTGTAGTTATTTATTGCTGTCTAGTAAGCCATCCTAAAACTTAATGACTTAAAACAACAATAATTATTTATTTTGCCAATGAGCCCACAATTTAGACCAGACTTGGCAGAGAAGGATCATCTCTGCTCCATACAGCATCAGCTGGGGTGGCCCAAGAGCTGACAGAGGCATCTGCTTCCAAGATGGCTCTCAGGTGACTGCCAGGTTGGTGCTGGCTGCTGGCTGGAAGTGCAGCCAGGGCACAGGACAACAGCCTTGTGCTTCTCCATGTAGACCTCTCCTTGTGCTCTAGGCTTCCTCATAGCCTGGCAGCTGGGTTCCATGGACAAACAGCCTCAGAGAGAGAGAGCCAGGCAGATGCAGTGTCACCTTTTATAACCTACTAGAGTTCAGCAGAAATGCTGCAGACTATTAGCCAACACAGACTCAAAGGTCTGCCCAGGCTGATTCCGCCTTATGATGGGGGTTGACAAGATTCTAGAAAAGCACACTGAGCAGGAAATGTTAGTTAGACATTTTTAGCAGATACAGTCCACCATACCTACCTTTCCAGACCTGCCCCTCCCAGTGCTCCTCAGCAACCTTTTCCAAGAGAATCACCATTCTCCAGGCCAGTGATTCTCATTTGGTGAGGGTTCTGGGGACATTTTCCTGGTCCTAACTGGTAGGTGAGTGTTATTAGCATCTAGTGGGTATAGGCCAGGGATCCTATGATGTACTTGACAGTCTTCTACAACACAGAATTATCCAGCCCCAAATGTCACTAGTCTCAAGGCTGAAAAACCTTACCTCAGACTATGTAAGAACCATTTGACTAATTCTATTTCACTACAAACCATACTAGGCTTTCTGTGAATTATTTCTAAACACAAATTGGTTGAGAGTAGGCTCTTCATGGAGATTTATCTGCATAGATGTTGGGTATTCTGAAGATGCTGAAATCATTGTATTACTGTTTAGTGTCAAATCCATTCCATTCAATTACTCTGTTGAAATACAGGTATCTTGCCTCAGTCAGGGAAAGATGTGAACCTTAATTATGTTTAGCTGAATCTAATAATTAAATTTCAGTTTCTTTCCTAGAACAGACACTATTTGGGGAGTGAGGTCAGTTAAGCATGTATAGAAAATAGAATAGAGAGGACAGAGAAAATATTTTAATAATCTTTACCACAGGTAATCCAAGTTGCTAATAATCATGCTACAAAGAGTTGGCATTGCCTGTAAATAAACAAGTAAGTGCTCCAAAAATGTTATAGTCCCTCAAGTCAGAAACCCTTGAGAGCATGTAGGAAGCTGAGTCATTTAGAGTGAAGCTGTTTTATATAATGGTGAAGAACTGAATTCCAACACCAGTTCTTTCACTTACTAACTGCTTGACTTAAGACAAGTTTCTGATACTTCTGAGCTAGTTTCCTGGGATGATTTTTTTTTTTCCCTGGGATGATATTTTTAAAGTCCTCTCACTAGATTCTGCATAAATTGCAAAAATAAAAAACTCCCAAACTTTTTAGTATATTATTTCACTCCCAAGAAAGAAAAATCCCTTACTAAATAACAACAACAACAACAATAATAATAATAAACTGAGTGGTGAGTGGTCAGCAATCCAGAAGGCTGGAGTGGTGCCTGGGATAACTGTCAATGCCCCAGTGCAGAAGAGTGGAGGCTGTGGCCCCCAAAAGATGGAGCTGGGCCATGACTCCTGAAGTGATCCAAAAGGAGGTACACCCTTAGTGAGAGGCTGGGCTCCAAATAACTGTCAGCAAAGGAAGCTTAGCAATTCATCTCTGCAAAGGTTCTGGGTGAAAAAAGATTAATGAGGATAATAACAGTGACAATAATAAGCTCCCTTGAGAGTTAAAGACATCTTTTCCTTGGATCTAGAGTAAGCTTGAAAGCTAAATATCTAAAAATAAGTTAGAAAAATAACCCAATGAAATAAATCCAAAGATGTAGACAATATATGCACATATATAAACACACACACTTTTAGTGACTGGGGGCAGTTAGAAGAAGCTCCTTTAAAGCAAGAGCAGTACAGACTCTGGAGCCAAACCATTTGGATTCAAGTTCTAAACCTACTATTTGCCACCTACGTGACTTTAGGAAAGTTGAAATAAAAAGTTATGTGTCCTTTAGTTTTGTTACCTGTAAAGTGGAATACTGATACTTTCTATCTCATGTGTTATTGTGAGAATCTAAAACACTTAGCCCCTACATAGCAAATTCTCTGTGTTCACTATGAATGTTACCATTACTGCTTCTGTTCCACATTGTACTAGGGACCTAGATAGCATCTTAGGATAAGAAAAGGTGTGTCATTTTTCACATATAATATGGCTGCCTTTGCAAATCATTCAAAAAGTATCTTATGAAAATTATTGGAATTAAATTAATTTAAATGCATTATTATAGAATTAATATAAATATATTAGAATTAAGAGGGTTTATGAAGAAAACAATTCCTGATTCAAAAACATATATGCACCCCTATGTTTATTGCCACATTATTTACAATAGCCAAGATATGGAAGCAACCGAAGTGCCCGTCAATAGATGAATGGATAAAGAAGATGTGGTATATACACACAATGGAATATTATTCAGCTACAAAAAAGAAAGAAATCCTGCCATTTGCAACAACACAGATGGACCTAGAGGGTATTATTCTAACTGAAATAAGTTGAGAGGAGAAAGATACCACAATAATTGAAATCAAAGAACAAAATAAAAAATGAACAAAACAGCACAGACTCAGAAACTGAGAGGTGACTTGTGATTACCAAGGGGTAGAGGTTGGGATGGATAGGTCGAGAGAGTGAGAAGGATAAAGGGGAACAAAAATTCTCAATCATAATACAAGTTTATCTGGGGATGGCAGTACAGCATGAAGAATGTAGCCAATGATTCTGTAACATCTTCCTATGTTAGCAAATAGTAACTGCACTAATGGGGGTGAGGACTTAATAATATGAGAAACTATTGAACCACTGTGTTGTATACTTGAAACCAACATAAGCCTGAATATAACTATACTTTAATTAAAAAAATAGAGTAAGAGGGTTTAGCACAGTGGCTTGTTAAAAGGACATTACATAAAAGGCATGATAATACTTAGAAAATTCAATCCAACAATGTGTAGGAAAAAAATATTATCTCATGACCAAGTTCAGTCTAACTCAGAAATGCAGTTTTACTATGATAAATGATTTAAGCTGTGTGAATTATAAATATTTACATCTATAAGTTTTCAAGGTTTGGGAAATATGTCTTAAATAATCATGAGAATTCATTAAACATTGACCAAAGTGAATGATGGTACATATCTGTAGTTATTGTTAATCACCTCAAAATTAAATTAAATTAACTCAGTTGATTCCTTCTTTTTCTTGTCTATCATTAAACTAAAATAGCATCTTGGTCTATTTTCTTCCTACTGAGCTATAGAAGGCATGAATTACATAAACATGCTTCATATATTTTCACAATCTAAAACTCATGTTTGCATGCTTTTTATCACTGTTAGCCACAATGTAACACTGCCTCATCAGATTAGACTCCTTCACTTCTCAAGGTTCTTCCCACACCATAAATTAGTTTATTCATATAACTATAAGACTACTAATGCATTTCCAGAATCATATCCCAAGAAATACTCAAGATCACATTCTTCAGAATTTAAAAATGAAATAAAATAAAAGAGGACTATTCACAAATAATGATAGTGTTCCCTGAACTAAGGTCTGTGATTAGTACTCACTTGTACTATAAAAAATACAGAAATTTTAATGAGTCCATAAAAATGAACTAAAAATACAGAAATAGTTATTTATAAGAAAACACTTTATAATAGTTTATTTTAATCAAAATTATACTAATCAAGTACATAACAGACTCCTAGGTAAGCACCGTTGCTATATAATACAATTTCATTAAATTTGGTTTCACTGACATTGATTACATGGCTAATACTAACAAAGGACTTTTGATGCATAATTAGAATTAGGATGAACACTTTCATCCTTAATTATAATCTTCAGTTGACAACTATTCACTTATATTATTCATATGTACCCATAAAGTTCTGGAATTAATGGATAATTGCTCTACTTCGAATGTCATTTCAAGCTTTATTACTTAAGGGCTTACTATAAGACACAGACCTTTTGAGGTCCTTTAAAATTACTGAGAGATTCTAGAAATTAGTGAAATTAAGTACATTTTAACAGTCTGATACATGCACAGCCTTTCCCCTCACTTAGTTTCAAATTACTGACACAGTACAAACATTTTTTAAAACATAAAGGTTTGTTAACTTGTTATGCATATTAGTAATCTGAATTTGTCCATCTCATTCAGATTAACTTTAAAATGTAAATATATTACAGGTGATTTGAAGAGGATCTAATATAAAAAGCTAATCTTGGAAGACTTGAAAATTGAGAAACCAATATGCAAAATTAATTCTAAAAAAAGGGCAACAGAAATTAATCATTCAAAAAATCATTATTTACCCCATATATTTAAATTATTGAAAGGAAAATGCATTTGGGGTTAGAGTCGCCTATGTTAATTTCTTTATAAATCAAACTATTTTATAATGCCTGTTCCTATATTCATTTTAAATATTTTTCAATAAGTAGTTTAAACTCAATAAGAATACACTAAAAATTGTATAAGGCAGGTAGTCTTGAAACAGAAATAGATTATTAGAGATGATTAAAAGATGAAAAGTGGCAACATTTACCATTTGCTTCCTCTTGTATTTTAGGTTGATGATTTATTTGCATTTCTGCAAAAATAAAAGTGAAGTGCAGTTAATAATAGATCTGTCTGATGACATTATAAGTGGGAGAAAAAGAACTGTGAGTTTAACTCCTTAGTAAGTAAAAAATCCTTAAATTGAATTTCAATTCACAGTGGGGTGTATAACATTATCAAGACACATCCTTACATATGCTTTATTTTCACTATGAGGAATAACTGTAACTCTGATAGGAAGGGTAAACTATTAAAGGGGACATTTTGGGGGCACTGGGAAATGTTCCACAGTGTCTAGTTGTATCAGAATCATCTTGTACTTTCTTCTACTGAAGGTTTCACTAATCCTCACCTTGAAGATAAAGTTCAATTTCTGAATGAATTATGCCCTGAGACATAAAGGGAAGCCATCTGAGGAAAAGAAAGAAAAAAAAGAGAGAAAACTCATTTTTGTTCTTCTCAATTTTTACAATAAGCTCAAGTCCACATTAATTTTGAACATGAAAAGATAACTATAAAAATAGTTTATAAAGTCAAACACATTCCAATCTACTGTGTACTACTCATCATTGTGGTAAGAATGATATCATACCTGTCGTTTGAAAAATAAAATATATAAAATGGCTAAACCTGCCAACCATCTTCCTCTCCTGAGATTTATCAGTCCTCAGCCACTAACACCTGTAAATGCAACTGGGGCCCCAGCAGAGCTCTAACCCTACCATGCTGTAGCAAAGGCAAGGGCAGGTCTAAGACTTTGAGCTTGACCCCTGGGCTAGGCTACAAAGTGTGGTGCCCCCACTGACAAGGGAAATTTGTCCCACCATTTTTGTACATCTTCTACAGGGGTCTCTGCCTTTCTTTCACGTAGCTTCCATTACTATTCTTTCCAAAGTGTCTTCAAAAATACATATTACCTTAAAATTTGGTGAAAATATTACTACATGGGAAAATATGATTAGGGTAAGTAATAACTCACTCTGGCAATTTCCCTCTGAACCAGCTGGACTTCTGTGTTAGAAGCTCCTTGTAGCAGAAAAAGCCAAGGCTGAACTCAGAAAGCCTTTACCACTTAGTGGCTTTGGGCTCTTACCCTCCTGAAGCTTAGTTTCCTTGATTAAATTAACTGCTAACAGAGCTGCTGTGAAGCTGAAATAGTCATTAAATTTTTTTATGCACTGTTAAGTGGTACATGAATATTATTATTATTTCATGATAATCATAGCTATGTTATCCCACATTCAAACACACCTCAATTCCTTCCATCCTCTATTCAATAAACACTTAGGAAATGCCTCCTGTGTGTCAGCACTTTGCTAAATGCTGGGAATACAAGAACAAATTGTATCCTGAGACAAGGAGCCTGAGCTGAAGGATATTTCAGTGTGAAAGAAGAAAACTTGTGCAAACATATAAATGTACACAGTGTTATAGGTGGTGTGATAATAGTAGCAGATTTTACAGGAGCAAGAAAGGAGACTGACCAACTCGAATGGCAAGAATAGGGAAGTACAAAGGAACGAAGCACAAACAAATTTCAACAAAGAAGTGATACCTGAGCTGAAGGTGGGGCGGCAACTGGATGTTTCACAGGCAAACAAGAGGTCAGGAATGGACCCACAGAAAGAGAAACCAGCACTGGCAAAGGTACAGACATGAGATTCTGTGTGGCTGAAGCAAAGGAGCCTGCAGACAAAGACTCAAGAGAGGGCAGGACTGCACCCCATGTGGGGATTACAGAAGGGGAGGTCATGGGATCTGAGAATGACAAGGAATTCAGAGGCTGAGCTGTGGACTTACTCCACCATTCTGGCCTTGAAATCACCAGATGATGCTAATAGGAGGAGTATGCATATGAACTGCGAGCTCATACAGCTCTTCTGAGATGTCAGGATCCCTCATTTCTCCATTTTTCAAAGCTATGAGAGATCCCATTTCCTCTGAACACTTCAGCTCAGTGTTCTTTCTCTTCCTCCTCTGGAATCTAATAACACATGCAATTTATTTTATGCATTTATTTTGCCCCTAATTATGCAATCTTGCTTAGTTTTAGTGTATGTATCCCATCTTTGCTGCTAAATTACTGCCACTATAGTTCCTTTATGTGCTCTACCAAAGGAGGTCAGCTTTATGTTTAAGGAAACAGGCTATGGATTTGATGTGGAGTCAGGCTGCCTGGCTTAAACACCAGTTAGTGACCCATGTTCTTGATCCTTTTAAGACTCAATTTTCTCATTTGTAAATTATAGGTAATAATACCACCTACACAATAGGGATACAGGATTAGATATATGTAAATTTATCATGGTATCTGACATGTGATTAAATGGTCAATAAATACCAGTTTCTGCACTTTTTCACTGCCAAACATTGTACCTTGTACATAGTTGGTGTTACAGCAAATATATTTTGGGTGATTGCCATTCCCCCACTTTCCAAATGTGTCATAAAAAGGTACATCTTAGATAGTAATGCTTATACAAAGGATCTGCCTCATCCTAGCTGACTGCACAGAGATGGACACCTGACCCATGCTTAATCAGTGAGATGCTCTTTCTTAATATTTTGACCTAAGAGTTACAGAGACTTGATCAGATGGCACTGGACATGCAGGCTTCACAGACCTGTGTTGTTAAGGCCAGTTGGTACTTTAGAACCCAAAGCTGGCTGCAAGCCAAAGATAAGGGAGAGAAGACGCTTCCAGAAGAAGCTGATCTACAAAGAGAAGAATGGAGATTTTCAATGATGAGATAACTTGAAAATCCAAAGAGAGTGACTGGCTTTCTACTGGTTTTCTAGTTTATAATGTCTAGTTTTATTTCTTAAAGATGGGCTCCTAGAGAATTACCTTCAAAGTTGCCCTTCCTAAAATTAGTGTTAGTGAATTTCTCATCCTGGCAAGCAAACCAGCATTTATTGACCAACCAATTGAAATTTTAAGAATCATACTCTAGGTCTTATCTTTTGTTAGTCCATTTATGGAAAATCTCTTCTATGATTTCTCTCTTTTTTTTCAGAAGCTACTGTACTATAGCAATGCTATGGCACTAAAAGCCACAGAGACTTTTGAGTACTAGGTATCTATTAAAAATAATTCCCTCTAGATTGCTATAAATTCAGATTTTAAACACTTGACTATTAATTCTTAATTCCCCTCAGTGGCCATAATTTCTATGGGGTTTAAAAAAATAGTTTTATAGTGCCATTAGATGGCATGAACCATTTCTACTGAACAGAACAGGATATATTTTAGTTGCTCCAGATGAGAATTATTTGCAGCACACACATATTTTCTTTTGTATATAAGCCTCTATCTACCTGCCTAGACATGTGTCCACACCCATCTTTTAACTTCTGTCACAGAATGTGCTGCAAAAGAAACTGAGAGAACTAGTTAAGGCTAGTCATTGAGAATTGTGAACCATGTTTTTGCATTAGGACATGAACATTCCCCCAAAGCCAGTGAGCAGATGGAAATACTGGAGCAGTATGGCTTAGAGGAGCATGATGATACTAAAAAAATGGAATAAAAAGCAAGCAGGAGGGGCTTGCTAGCCCAAAAGCACACCACATATATCATACAGCCACTAGCAAAGCACACTAAATACCCCCAGATCACCAGGGAGACCCCATTCACTGGGCTAACTAGGAAACATAAATACAGAAATAACATAATTTCTCTAGTCTTTTAAGATTAAAGTAGACCACCGTAGAATGTGTTTGAGTGATCTTTCCCTAAAACGTATGGAGAATTTTTGGTGGAGAAGGACATAGAAGGTGACATAGATTAGATTTTGTTGGAGATACGTTTTAGATATAGCAACCACTCATTCACATTGAAAATGGCAGAATACTAAATACTTGTAAGAAGATTCTATGTCTCCACCCCCATCCCAGGAAATGAGCAAGACTCATTCCTGCACCTCATTCTGTCAGTTCCCCACCATCACCACTTGTCACTTTCATACCAAGGAATGGCTCCAGCTGACAAGGAAGAGCACAGAAATCTGCAGCAGCACAAACACATGCTCAGAATAGCAAGACATGATTAACAGTGGCCTCTTTCAGGAAAAAAAGAATCAGTCAAGTTAAATGATTGCTCACTGTCTCATGATAATTTTTATTATTCTCTTCTTATAAAAATATTTCTGTATTTTATATTTCTGTACTTTATCAAAATTTTAGCATCCTTTCTTATATATGTTATTCATCATATTCCCTTATTTCCCAAAAAGGGAAAATAAAACTTTGTGAGTTGAATTATTTTGAAAACAAATACATGAGCAATTTTTAGTGACACACTTGAGGATGTTATAGAATTGTGACAATGACAGTGGATGACATTATATAGTAAGTATCACATGCAGTTAAAGCACTGGAGAATTTTTTTAAAAGTGAAGATGAACTGCTGGTTGGGCAAACAGAGAAAGCCTGTTTGTGTTAGAGAGGAAACTCATGTAAAGATTAGGCAACCTCTAAAGTTTCTTCCAGCTTGGGATTCCATTGTGTTTTATTAGTCCCTCCCTCCAATTCTCCTTTCCCCCATCCTGCTACTCCTTCCTTCCTTTTTTTCTTACTTTAAATATCAGTCAAGTCCCTACTTGGTGCAAGAAACTAAGCTAGACAATAAAAACAAATGTATGAGACCCTACCCTTAAGAAACTTATTATCTAGTTCATGAGACAAACATTTCACAATGACAATGGATGACATTATATGGTTAAGTAACACATCCAGCTTAAGTAAAGCACTGGAGAAATTTTTAAAAAGTGAAGATTAACTCCCAGTTGTGGGAAGGAAGAGTAAATCTCTTATTTAGATTATTTAGAAATAGCCTGTTTGTGTTTGTGCAAACAGCACATTACCATAGGCCTTGAAGGATAAGGATTTCAGTAAGCAGAGGAAGGAACAAGATGAGCTAAGACATGAAGATATTCACTTCCCTGGGGAATGTCTAGGGAAAGGAGCAATATGCATTTCATTGGGAAGAATTGGAAGAAGAGCCTAGAAAGGTTGATGGGGAGGAAGAAGGGGTAAATTCTATTTAAATCTGAATTTAACAAACTAACACCTCCACACACAGCTGGCTGGTCCAGGTGTAAACTTCCTTTGTCAATTGTAGCTATTCAAAAGAAGGGTGCTGTTTAAACTGGACTGCCCCTGGTTCTTTTTCTGACCCTCTCCACAAATGATACATTCAGTCCTGCTCTGTATATGACTCAGTTCGTGATTTTTCCATCAATTTAGCACACACTTTCTGGGCATCTACTCTGTTCTACTCTGAGCTTGTCCTGTGGACACTGAAGATCTTTGACTACAACCTCTAAGAGCACATGAACCTTCATTTGTGATTTTCTTGGAATAACCACCAGAGCTGGCAGAAAGAAGTTAAGCAAAGAAAACACTTTGTG